CAACAACCAATCAGGCTTCAGTAAACAGAGAAAGAACGATCTTATTATTCCTGCCTCTCACTCTAATCGTCTTTCTACCCCTTTGAGGGGTAAGTTCTACCCCCACCATTGCCATCAGCGGTCCATTCTAGATGTCGATGATTTCAACCCATCAGAAAATATCTAGTTCAGAAAGCAATAAAAAGAACAGACCTTTGAATGAATAGCTGCGTTCAGCAGACTCAACAGTTTTGCAACCGTTTTATGATTGTCTGCTGAGATAGGACCATTCTTCTAGATCTAAAAGTATGATCCAATCAGCTCGAAGGAAACTTCCAATAGTTGCAAAACGAACGTTCTGCTGAACGCAGCCGATGTTTTTTGATAGGTTGAAGTGTCTTATTTCCTGTTCCTATTGCCTGTCTCTACTGTGATTGGCCAATTCGCTTACTGCCTTATGTTTTTGATGTGCCATGGGCTTTATATATCTATGACTTTAGTCCAACTTTGCAGTTCCCGCCATACAGCTGATCAAAACCGTTTACGTGAGCTGCGAATACTACTGAATTACCTTAAATTGTCTAGCCAGACTGGCCTAGAGCAAATATTTTTCAAGAATCGTGTGATTAGAGATTAAAAAGGTAACTGAAACTTTGTTTAAATGATAATCGCCACGCCGTATTATTTATAAATAAAATATTTGAGCCGATCAAGTTATTTTCTCTTCAGATCTTGATATTACTTTTGTGGCTTGTAGGATGAAACCGGTTACTGGCGCTGAAACGGTTACTTCTGAGGTTAGTGTATTTATTTCTCTTTTCGCACAAAACTCAAAGAAAATGATGTTACAATGTATGATTTCATATTATAAACTTTCATTCGAACGAAAAGAATATATACAAAATATTATTTTTACAATATATTTATACTCTCGAATATAATACTCCGTACGACCGGAAGGTCATTTCAACCGTATTTATGATACATATCGAAAAGAAATTTCAAGCAAAAAATTACATATACAAATTTATGACTGAGTATGTTGTATATACTAAATTTCAATTCGTTTCAGTTTATTGAATTTTGTTAGTGTTAATTACAAAAATAGCTGTTCAACATTTATATACAATTGATTATCATAGAAAATTATATTGTATTTTACCTTGAATTAAGAATATATATTTGTAATGTAGAAAATATTTGATAAATCCATTATTTTTTTTTATTACTATATTATAATTATATAAAAAATTATTATTTAATAATATATAATAGATTATTAAAAACTCATCTATATATTATTAATATTCTTCCTAGATGGGGAATATATAATATATTACGAACAAAATTTATAAAAAATGATTACAGACATGTTTAAGAAAAAAATATATATATATGTTAAGCACAAGTTATAATACTTGTACATAAAATAAATGAAATAATCTACTAGAGTATATTATAGTTACAGTAGTTTAATAGAGTATCATTTATTTCTTCTATTAAAACAGGATAAAGTTAGAAAATCTTTACATGAACTCCAGCCCTCAGCTACTGATAAGGAAACTTTAGTTGGTGCTGATAGAATGATCAAATCTACTCAACAAACAAAAGAGGCAAAATCAAAAAAGTAAGTTAATTTGTTCTTGCTATTTGAACATAAAGAAACTGGGTGTTTTCCAGCAAGGACACATTTAGTTACAGTTAGTGATGAGTATCAAGATGCTTTGGTTTGAATACATCATGAAAAATTTGAATTAATTCGAATATGATTTGAAATTATACAATCTTAAAAGTCTTGAAGGTTTTGAAATGTCTTGAAAAGTTTGGAATGTTTTAATAAATTTTAAAGAGAATAAAATTTTAGAAAGTATATATAATTTTAGTTTAATTTTAGAGAGTAAAAAATATTAAATAAATATAAATAATTATAAATTAAAAAAATGATATTCAAATAAAAAAAACTTTTCTTTAACCATATAGCAAGTTCAAATTTCTTCAATTCAAACAAATTTTTTTTAATCAAAGAAATCAAGAATTATCAAGATTTTCAAGATCTATCAAGACTTTCAAAATCTATTAAGATTTTTAAGAGTGTACATCTTTGAATAATATTCAAAATGTTTCATAGCAGAGCAATGACTAAATTGATTGAAAATTCGCAAGAGATATGATTAAATACCCATCATTAGATACAGTGTAATACAGTGAATCATTACATCCTGGTTGTTTGCCTATGTTAAACAAGGATGAAATGATTCACTGTTTTACACTGTATCTGACTGTGTCCTTGCTGGCAAACGTCCATTGTAACGAATATTTGTAAATATGTTTATATTTTTACTTTATGCCTAATAAGAGTACAATGGAGCAAAGGTGATTTCTTATAAATGATTTGAAAGAATGAAAAAACTTCATGAAAAGAATTGAATATTCAATCTATATATATTTTAGAAGTGTACCTACAAAAAAGAAAAAAGATGTTTCCAAAAATCAAGTAAAAGTGATAACCAATAACAAAGCTGTCCAAACTGTGAAAGAGGAAAAGAGAGAAATTGATGCCGAGGATTTAACATGCACAGGTACATTTAAAATAATATTAACTAAATTCTATTTTTCCTTTTCTTTCTGAATATTTTTAAAAACCATAATACATAAACGATACCAGTTTTCTATTAAAATATTTCTTTCAGATATAGCTGGTCCGAGTGAAAATTACTGGCAAGTACTAGCTGAAAGGAGGCGATTAGCACTTAAGGATACTTTAGAAGAAAATAAAGAACTCACAAAACGTAACGAAAAGTTAGAAGAAGAAAATCGTATTTATAAACTAATGTTGGATGAAGCAAGAACTCTTATTGAAGTGTTGCAGGTAATATTATATTTCTATTGCATTGTGATACTATATTTAGCATCAATTACTATTTTATAACTGTATGTTATGTATTTTATTGCAGGAGATGATGGGAGATGACAGAAACGATATAAATAATTCATTAGAAGACAGTGTCCTTTGATTTACGAGTTGATTTCTTAAAGTTATAACGAAGGTCAACTATCAAAAGTTTCTATATAAAAATGTTGAATGCATCCAAACTCACAAAAGCCGATAATTTAAACTTATACATACATAATATTGAAAAATAATCTTATTTAAAAAATACGCGTGTAACTAATATTTCAAATCTACAAAGGATTCTTGAGTAAACTGTTATGAAAAAGTAGGCTATACATATATATACTGTAATAATTATATTTACATTATTCAATAGTTCCACTATTGAACATTTAAATATTTCCAAACGTTATATCTTAGACAGAGAGATACTAAATGCAACATTTATAGTCTTTTTCATCAAAATATTTTTTTTTGTAAGAACTTAGATGCTTTCAACAATTTTGAATAAAACTTTACTACTTAAGTATTTGTTAATTTGCTGCATCGTTCCTTTCTTATAATTATTTATACTGTCATAAAAATGTAGATTAAAATCGTATTATTCATTATTCAATATACATTTTTTATCAACTTATTCCTCATTAGTTCTATAGACAAGTATACTAATATTGTACGCGGAAATAAATTTCATTTAATACTAAAAACATTGTTACTACATATAAATAAAAAGAAATCTAACGATGATTGAATCATTTATTGATTTTTAAGTACATAGTGAGATACACAAAATAAATTTCGATCTCTTTTACTGTACATTTTAAAAAACATTCTGAATCCATCATAAAACGAACCAGGTACGTTTCAGTAAAACTTCTTAGAAAAATATCTTTCAAAAACAAAAACTTTTCACGTATTTTTATTTAGATATATAAATAAATAGAAGACTGCATATGTATATGTATATGGCGTTACTGCAAAAATATTTTTTTGCATCAGTTGTCTTGTTTTGTTACATGGCACATAGCATCAAACTGACATTCTTCATCGCGATCTGGATATATCGCTTTTATAATATTTAATGGACATGGCATGTCTTTCGGACAGCCTGATAAATATACCGGTCGTTCCTGAAGCATGAATAAGACACTGGGTCCATAATATTCGCAACTAAAACAAGAATAATTGGATAATTATATATGACAACATATGTAATACATATAATTCCATGATTTTAAAAAAGAACATACTCATACAAAACAAATGCCATGTTAGTTGCAAACGTGTCAATAATACTACTCTTCCAAGCTCTTTTATTTTCCTTCTTGCGTAATACAAAGGAGTCATGCATTAAAGGATGCACATCTTTGGCTAGTCCGAGTAAGGCTATTAATTTTAAAATCGTGCCGGAATGTGTAAAATAAGCTGTTGTCACTGCCGCTTCATTGGATCTGAGAAATATCATTCTTATAATATATTAGATTGTGTTCTTTATCTGGATGTACCTATGTATCATTTTATCTTTGACATTTACTGAGTGTCAAACAAATAAGATAATACATAGATGTATCCAGGTGAGGTTTCTGAACACAGTCCTACGTTAACACAATTGAATTATATTTAAATGCCAAGATTTACAATTAGACAAAATATGATTCTACAAATGTTTAGAACAAAGCTACATTAAAATTGCAATCTCATATTTATTAACTAAATATTATTGATTAAAGTTTTCTCTTTAATTAATGAAATCTGATATGTAAGCAAAAGATTTAACGCATCCTACCGTTTTTATCATTTTTACTGAAAGATTGCAGTAAGAAAAAAAAACTATATTAGATTTATTACTGCAATGCATATAAATCTGCATACCCAAAGAAATCAAACATATCTTTTAAGACAACACATGCTTGCTCATAAGTTAATGGATAGCCATATCCGTCGATCCAATAGAATTCTAGATCTTCTGCGTATTCAAAGATCTATAAAATATGAATTTAGAATTAAATGCACAATGAAATTTTCATCTATATAGAAAAGGTATATATATTATTTTAATCTAAATCTTACCTTGAAATCATTTAATGAAAATATTTTACACCAGGGAGATACTATACTTTGATTTAAAGCAGTTTCAAAAGCACACGTTGTATACATTAAATTTACAGTTTCTGGAATATCAATTAATTGTATGTAACAATTAACATATATAAATATTAGCAGCAATTAATTAATATTTACTTAATTTATACACGATATATTTAATAAATACTAACCATAATCGATATTGAGACCAATGCGCTTCTTAATATTATCCAACATATTTCTAACAATCTTGCTATCCAAAAATTTTGTTTTCTCTAGTTTTGCATCTAAATTCTTGTCAACTTCTTGGCGCCAGCGAGGACAAGCTTTATAAAACTAGGAACACAGAATAATCATGTACCTAAAGAACTAAGAAAATTAGAAGCAGAGTAAATTGCCTGAAAATTTAAAAATAATGAAATCTTACTCTTATCACTCTATCTCGATATACTGGTAATGGATACCAAACATTTTTGCTATTATGCCAACCGAATAAACCAACAGCAAAATGTCTTGCGCTCTCTTCTGTACGTTGTGTAGCAGTGAATCTAAACTGAAATTCAGCTGGTGATAAAGGAAGAAATGTAGAATATGTATCTAATATATTTGGATACTTTGTTGTATATACTTTATATGTTCGATTGTTGAAAGCTTCTGGCATTAGAGATGGAAATCTTGCCTGATATCTTTCTCCGAGATCAATCATTTCATTTTCTCCTTCCACTGCCAATTTCATCATGTTTCCTTGGGTAAACGATAGTTTCCATTTTCTAAACAGAGCTGCTTCATCAGCTGACAGATTTGTTGCTCCATTCTCATAATTTTTTAATATTACATGTTGCAGCTCTGGTAAGTCTTCTATCATACGAGGTATGTACTTCTTGCCTGGATATCGAGTTCCATGACGAAAAATCAACCAAATTTTTTTCTCCACACAATCTGTAAATCAAATGGCAATAAATACACGTTAAGAGCTTTACATATGCATCAAAGATATTAATGATATTGCAATACCTGGATATTTTAATATTGATTCATCATAATTAGCTACACATCTATAAGGAGTTTTCGAACCTAATCTACATCTGTAACTGTCATTGCGCTTAGAATAATCAGAAGCAAAAGAAATATCTGCTATCATACAAAATATAAGAATCTCAGCAGATAATTTCCAAAGCATTCCGAAGTCTTACAGCGTTACAACCATGTCACAGTCCACAAATATGTTAAATATATATATACTTTTTTATCTTAGTTGTTTAACATAATACATTCTAACATAATAGCTTCTTTTATCTGCGATAAAAGCATTTTATCAGTGATAACTTCGTCATAACAATACCATACACACCGCGCAGGATACACATTGCTTAAACTTTTCCGAACACCGTGTAGAATATGACGTCAGTGCTATTGGCGACGCAAAGATTCTCCCCAGTGCGCAGTGTTGCCACATCGAGGGATTTACCCCTAGATTCGGGGATTTCGAAGATTATCTGGGATCGGGGGATAGATTTAAGAAAATTTCGATTTTCTTTAATTTTCTAGGGATTTCATAGAAGGCATGATTCTTTTTAGAATTTTTACGTCGTCCGTCGAAAAAGAGAAAGCAAAGATCATGGCTGCGTTCCGAAATTCACTGTCAGTACTGAAAATCTATAGTATATGTTACGCGCACTATAGATTTTCAGTAGGTACTGGCAAGTTGGCAACATTGGCAGTGAATTTCGGAACGCAATTCATGTGCAAAAAGTGCAAACAACGCGAATAGACTTTTTGATTAGTCAATTCGAAAAATTTTGTCTTCTGATTGGTCAATGAAACATTTACAACGTTAGTGGATCGTACGTGCAATTCGCATCAATCTGTGTAGGACATGTAAACATATGTCATGTACTGTGTGTTGCATCAACATATTGGTCAGTATGTCGGG